TCTGTACTTTTTAATGTCAGCACTCTGTTACTTACTGTGCTATTTTGTGAGATGTGATGCCCTAAGGGAAGGTAAGGGTCACTTCTCCATCACTAGCGTCTAGCCACTTTTTGCAGCAGAATGCAGTCTCACTGCTTTACGCATCAGGAGATGAAAAATAACTTTTCTAGTTGAAATTGCAAGGAGGATGGTAGAGGGCAGAATGCAGTTACCTTAGCTGCGTCACAGCCACGATGTGGGCCAGCTCCTGCAAAAAAATGCAGTAGGATCTTTAATGCCAATGAGTGGTCCAACAGCACAAGCTATTCCTTGGCTGTAGCCTGACTGCAGGTTGGTCTGAGATCACATCCCACCAAACTCTGTCACATTGCTGCTGGCAAGCTGCACTTTCCCCCTTGTTTGATGACAATCCATGGCAGGATTATAAAGGGCTGTTGCACCTAAAGGCAAAGAAATGCTACAGGTTCTAGATTGCTGCAAAAATTGCTGCACATTTAGGCTTGTGAAGCCCATCTCATCCAAAGGCTTCAACTGGATTAGTTATTTTTAAACCCCACAGAAGGAGTGTTAAAAATGTGCTTTTTCATGCAAGCAGTCTTAAAAAAAAATCTGTGCTTTATGTTCTGAGGTGCTTTCTCATAATACTTGGTCTGAATCTTGCGGCTGTCCTATGCTAAGGCAAGAGTTGGACTTGATGATCCTTGTGGGTCCCTTCCAACTCACAACATTCTATGATTCTATAATTTCCCCATCCCCTTGCTGCCTACACCCTGACACTGTATGAAAATGACTTTGGAGACAACACAAAGTGCTGCTTCTGCAGATTGCTTTTTGTAAATCTTAGGATTTTGCTTTTCTCCTTTGCTCAAACTCCAGTAAGCATTTAAAATCTTGATATCTGATCATTGCTGGGATGGTGATGGAGAGATCCGAGAGAGAATTACAGCTGCTGTATGTGCCTGTACTTAGTGACAGATTATTAATAGCTGACAGTGGAGAGCCAAATGGATGTCCTCTGTTTTTAAGGTAAAATCTTGAAGGGATAACTCTTGCTATTACATTAACTGACTGGGTCTTTTATACATGCAAGACAAGTCTTATCAGCTGTTACAGCTTTTAGAAAGTGTTGCTGTTGTATTTGTTAATGGGTCTGGCTGAAATCCAGCACTTAGGCCTTTGGCCCAGTGCTGGGGGCTGCTATCACCTCACCCATGGGCGGGTGCTGTGGTCAGTCACAGATCCCCTTCCTGGCCCTTTTGGGATGCACTTAATGGGATGCAGAGTTGCACTTACAGCCAACCTGGCTGAGCACAGCGTGCCACCTACCCAGGGACTTTCATAATCCAAGCTCATCAGGGCAGTGTGAAGAATGAACCCACATGTGCCTACATCCCTTCCTAACCTGAATACAGACTAATTTAAAGCAGATGATGTGGCTCCAACATGCTATAGTGAACCCCATCCATGGCTCCTGCTAAGGGATAAACCTCCCGAAACACACAGGGGCTTTGGCTGAGCCCGAGAAGGGCACAAGCTTCTGCTCCCTGTGTTTTTCATCCTCGCTGTTCCGCATCTCCCTTTCTGCCCTCAGACCAAGCTGCCAGGCCTCAGCTAAGCAGCCAACGAGGTCTCCCTCCCCGGGGGGAATGACACTGCGGTGACAAGGTCTCTGCCCCAGCTCTCCTGGTGTACAGAGAGGAAGGGCTGGCTCTGTCCCCATGTCCTGCCCCAGTCAGGACACCCCTGCCACTGCCCAGCTGGCACAGGGGACAGGACGGGCTGGAGGGGGGCCGAGCAGACAGATCACCTCCGCCCACCTCGGCTGAAGCTGCTGGCCCAGATCCAGAGGGCTCTTCTTACCCCTTATCGCAGCAGCTGAAATTCCAGCTAAACAAAACCCAGCCACAGACTTATTCAAAACATTTATTAGTGTTTAAGGAAAATAATAGTGTGAAAGGTACAGAGCTTTGTCTAAAGCCATATGCATTTTCTTTTTTTAGAAGCTTATTTGGCTGCAAATTCTACACAAGATAAAACTAGTATGTTTTTCTCCCAGAGATTTGGAATTAAGGACAGTTTGTCTTTTTTTTTTCTTTTTTTCTTTTTTTCCTTTTAGTTCAGCACTTTAAGTTAGGACAGCATTTTCCAGGGTTTACTGCTATCTTTTTCCAGTAGGCATTTTGCTTCTCCCAGTATTTTCATTCCAGAACAAGGCTCATTCCAGATGCAAAGCGTAAAGGAAACATTCATACCTTGGCTTTTAAGCTAAACCTCCTTCATGAACAGCAAGTTCATAAGGAATGTTAATTAAAGCATCATACAGTATCTAAATGGATTTTTTTTTCTGTTTTTATAAAGAATTAAGGCTATGTAGATGTCACAATAAAATAATCTCACGTAAAACGCACCCTATTTGTTAGATATGAAAGAAGGTTTAACAATAAATAAATGATTTATGCTGTCAATAACATTATGGAACTGTATAAAACTATATTTACGCAGCTTTAAACATAAAAAAACCCCATACTAGTGGCATGAATATATACAACACAGGTCATGACGTACGTTTAAATTATCATAGCCAGCAGTGTTCTTTTTTAAATGGAGACACTATAATAAATAGAAATGTTAAATATTTACAATAATAGCATATGTGGAATCAGTAGATAAACACATAAAATCTTCACACACAGAGGAAAAAAAAGTTATGCCTTATACAAAAATCCCTCCCACCCACAGCTTGCCCTCCCCCCCAAACTTTCATTGACTAAACAAGGGGAATATACAATTTTCCCCACAGAACAAATGAATACAAATAAAACTGTATGCATGCTGAGGTGATATGTTGACATTCAAGGATGTAGATCTCTATGTTTGGTTCCCATTGATGAATCAGACCTCTAATGAGACAGGGATCTCATTTTAGTTTCAATGCAAGAACATTACATTGGTAGTGAGTTGTTGTTTCTGTTTTGTGTTTGGCTTTTTTTTTTTTTTTTTTTTTTGCTAAAACACTTGGATTGTCTTTTTGGTTTGAGCTTGTTCTTTATGGTGGCTCTATGCCACCAAGGGGGAGAGGATGCTCACAGGAAACCCATGGAGGCACAGCTAGAAACCTTCTTATGGTACCACCAGCAGCCACTTAGTTTTTGGAGCAGAGATGGCCATCAGAGGCAGGGCTGAACCAACCCTGGCAAGCTCCTCTGTGGGACAGCCTGGGTGCCTCATCCGTGGGAGAGCCGTACTACAACCCAAGAGGGCAGCTGGTGCTCACTGCCAGGAGCTCTGCTCCTCACGTCAGCATGGTCTTCACTGCTACAGTACTTGGCCCAATCCCACCTCTTCCCAATTAAGTGAACTGATTTTTTTTTTTCACAGAATTTAGCTAAAATCAGGCAGGATTGAGGTCATGTCTTTGTTTAAACAAAGACCTGGTGATTACATAGAGACACACCTTTTCAACTTAATGGTCCTCTCTTGCTTCCTACGTGGCTTCTATTAAAAGCAATGCCTGTAACTTCTGCGGGTGGATACATGCATTAAACCCTGAATATAGCTATTAGGAGCTGTGTTCACTTAGCAGTAACTAAAATCTGAGTTGGAAATTATAGCCAAATTCCAACACCCTCTACTGTTTATACAGCTCCTTCCCACCATGCGACAAGACGTACGCTAGTTCACTGGGTACGTTCTGTCTCTACTGAACTGCCTTCCTGCCCCCACAGCTTTCCTCCCAAACTTTCTAAGTGAGAAGGCTCAAATCCCTGGTATGATTCCCACTTTCTAAGAAAACTCACTTTTTCTCCAGAGGAAGCTGAAGAGCTCACCCTTCTGTCCCCATGGATGCTGTAACCTCAATTTCCAGTACAGTATCTGGGGATATAGGATTGCAGATCTGCAACCTGAGAATTATAATTGCATAGGGGGTAGGAGAGATGTGTCCAAACACCTCATTCACACTTAAAACTGCTTAGAGACAATAAGCTCTTGACACTCTTCATCTTTAGTAACTCCTTTTGCAGAGATTGGTGGTCATTATCTGCATGACAATTAAAAAAACCCCACATCAACCCCCTCTCCTTATCTTTGGCATTTGGATAAACCACAGCTGATAGGCAGGTTAGAGTGGGGCTCTACATCCCAGCAAACAACACCATGCTACAGCTAAGGAGAGACAGATTTCTGATGGGCCTTTAAAGCAGCCCTACAGAAGAACCGAGTATATGGGGTCCTTCACTGTCTGAGCCTATGCCCATCCTTGTAAGCTTGGGCTGTCCCTCCGGGTGGAGGACCTGTATCACTGAGCGGGCAGGTATAAGCAGAGAATATGCACAGGGTTTTCAGAGGTCCACAAGCATACTCTTGGGGGTCCTCCATACTGTGCAAGTCTTAACAGTCACGTTGCCTTGTCTGGAAGCTGACTACTTGCCTTCAATATGCTGAAGTGACTGGAGTAGCAAGTGTCAAGTTATACAGTGGTTAAAAAAACAAACAGGGGACACTTAAACTAGGCAACATCACCCAGATGGGAACAATGGCTCAGAAGTTAGTTAAGAGAAAGCGGTGGAGCTCCAGACCGCACGGTTCCTGTGTGAGACGGGGTTGCTATTTCATTAGAGAGCGTCACATGGAGAGCCTTGAGCTCTTGCATTTTCAGCCACAGGCAGAAACCAAATCCCCCTGGAATTCAGCCATCTGCTGTAAGACTGTGCCCTAAACCTTCGGAGGTGCTAAGCCACAAGCAGCCGCATGCAATCTGGCAGAGCCCTCTTCAACCTTCTCCCCAGCCAAGGGGACCAAGAAAAAAAACCAAACCAAACAAACCCCCAAAACAACCCAACAACCCCCAAACAAGATCCTAAATTTCAGCTGATGTCCATTTCATAAAAAAGGGGAAAAGAATTTAGTCGGAGACATTTTGCCACGTTTGGTGGCTGCTCAAGTGTGGAGTTTGCTGGATTGATAACCCATTGCCACTGCTCTCCCTTTGCTACTATATACACTGTTGCTGAGGTCCATATATATCGTGCAATGCCCTGTGCTTGACCTCTGAATGGGAAATGCTTTGGAATGTCCATAGATAGGAAGATGGGACTTAAGGGAGGAGGTTTCCAGTGGAGGGGGAAGGGAGTTGGTGCCTTTTTTCACCTCCGGATGTCAGAGAAGTCGGACAGTTCATCTGCCCGGTCCATGATCCCATGTGCCCCTTTGGGACCATGGCCCCCAGCTTTCACCCGGGCATGGGCATTCAAGTGGCCCTTGGTACCTCTCTCTCCCTTAGATGCTCGTGAGCTCTCCCTGTGGTCAGAGTTGGAGTGGGCCAGCACGTCCCCACGGCCAGCAGCAGCTTTGCTGGCTTCACCTGGCTTCTTCTCGGCACCCAGGATGGCATCACCATGCACAGATGAGGTGCAGAAGCTCAGGATGGAGCAGAGACTTCCCCAGCTCTGTTCACACTGGGCCTGGACGCTTCTTGTTATTGCCTTTTTCACCTCCTCGCCACACGTGAGCAGGATATTCACTAGGTCAACATATGGCCTAGAGAGAAAGGAAACAGTGAGAGGAGAGTAAAAAAGTATGTAAGTATTATCTGTCAGTGAACGAGTGTAACGGCTGCTCTACCTCACCCTCCTGTGCACAGCTCAGCTCAGAAGCACTAGCCCCCTGCTACCCACTGACTCGGCAGCCTTGTAGAGCAATTCTGCACCATATGTTTATTATGCAATATATTATATTTTAATTGGCCATATTGCTGCACGATAGCATCCTCTCAAACAAAGCTTCACTTGAGTGCTGGATCTGCCTTGATTGCTCCCCCACCAGAGATGCTCTGGGAGAACTGTAATCTTCAGGTGAATATATGAGGTCTACACACTTGGTAAATGGGGCTGTCAAATGGAAGAACTCCAATCTCACACCTTCGGTTTCTATCTCTTTCCATGCCCGTTCATCTTTATTAGTCAGGATACACGACAAAGGAAACCTACTCATGTCCGGAACCATCAATTTCATCCAACAGCTTGCTATCTCCAGGTGAACAGCTGGTACAGAGCATACACTGATCACTAGTCTGCAAGAGGGAGGCATTTCCTCACCTCTGCAAAGAGCAACACGTACTCATCTAGAGGTTCTCTGGCTATTCTTGCCATCTTTAGCTTTCCCTGAAGCACCAGGTATTGATCTCCACCACAGACAAGATCCTATCTGGACTCAGGATCAGACTGCACAGAGCTCAGACACATGGAAATCCACTTTGGTGGCACTGTTTCTTCCCACACCAAGTTTTTTTTCTTCTTCATTTCCTTACTGAGTGCAGCTTTCAGTATATACCTTTTCCCAGCCAAGCAAGGACTCCCAAGGAGCCACGGCCAAATACTGGTTCTGCTTCCCACCCATTCCTCTGTGTCTCCACAGCACAAGGCAGCTGAGCACAGGCACTTTGGCTTCCTCAGCCATGGGTCACTGAGTGCAGCAATTTTAAAATAGTTGCAGTCACAAGTTCTGTGCGTCAATATTGATGTTGCCTATTGACACAACCACCCAGTTGCTAGCAGGCCTGGAAGAACATGTTTAGAAGTCTTCCACCGTAGGAAGCATCCACAGTGCAAGTGGAGAACTGCCTGAGGTCAGCAGCCGTGGTCATATGGGGTGGTGGGAGTGCACCTTCTGGGCACACCATCCACCAGCTCTGGTGGCTGTGGATGAGTCTAAATCTCTTCCCATGAACTAAGAAGAGATGAGGAAAACCAATAGATGATGATCAGTGTCTGATGCTACCCTGACTTCACTTTGCCCAACTGCTTAAACTCATTTTGAATGACTAATCTGGGAGAGCCACCCACTCCCCTATCTCCAAATATTTCCCATATTTGGATTGTTTCTGTCATTTAAAATAAGTTACTTGGAATGCAGCAGTGACCGATCTGCCAGGGCCTGTCACCACTTCCACCATAGCATGTTGGCTTGACCCCCACCCCACCGCAGCTGACTCAGGAGGAGACTTCACCACCCTGATCACGTTCCTCAACACTCATTGGGAGAAAATAGAATAAAATAGTCAGAGAAAGTCTGAGAGCTGCCACTTGCTTCTCCGCTCGTAGTTTTTGTTTTAAACGTAAAACAGAAGATGAGAGAGAACTGAGCACATCGCATAAAAAGTGACCCAGCAGAAGGAGGGGGAAAAAAAATAAAAATAAAAAAAAGATAAATCAGTTGTTGAAATTAGTATAACCTTTACAAAAATCTCTGGAAGAAAAAGATTGCTGGTATGACTAAAGAGTGTCTCAGCTGCCAAATATTTCAGGTATTCAGAGTCTGCCAGAGCCCTGCGGATTAATACTGGCCCATTTCTCCTTCACTGTTTTACTTTCTGCATTTCAGCTGGCCTGACCATAGTACCTGAACTGAGCACAAGGCTGCAAGTCAGCAGACGTGATTTTATTTCCAGCTCTGCCACACTTGCCTATTGATCTTGAACAAGTTCCTTAGTTCAAAAGCTTCAGAGATGGCCTCTAAATTTAGGGGAGGGGAGGAGGAGGCTGGCTGGCTTCTATTTGGGGAGTCCCGTATGGGAAAGCTAAGCTCCGGCTCTGTGAGATGCTGAAAATGAAGTGTAGGAAGCTCTAAACGAGATCGTGCAAATTATAGGTGTTCAGATGAATGATCTGTCTCTTCTCAAACCCAGACCCCCCCCCCCCCCCCGCCCTGC